GTTGGCAAATTATTCCAAGTTTTTGCACCATGGTAGCTAAAATTTCGCTTCAGTGCATTTGTTCTTGGTTTTGCCAGTTTCAGCATAGTAAAATTACTACGTAATTATATTGATCGTTACTGAAATGTGAAACTGGTCTGATATTGATGTAGGAACTTCATTTTTTAGAATTTTGCGCATAAACAAGAGCGTCTTAACCAATCTTATCTGGTTTAGTGGTTGCCAATTTAGTTTGCTAAGAACATCTTTTGAACGAATCTCCCAATTATCTCCAGTTATAACTTTGCTGCCCTTTTTTGAAGCTTTTCAAGTTTCAATTGCAACTCTAGTTTACAATTTTGCCATACTAGAGAGCAATAGTCAAAATATGGCTGCACAAGGGCATTATAAATCTGATTTAGGCAATCCTTTGGAACATAAGGCTTGATCAATTTTATCACTCCTGTTCCGCTTGAAACATTTTTGCTAATGCTGTCAATGTGGTCCTCCCATTTCAACTTATCGTCAATGACCATGCCAAGACTTTTTGTTGTTTTAACTCTATTAATAGATTCGCCGCCAATTTTAATTGTCGGATCTACATTAATCTTACTTAGATTATTTCGAGAGCCAATAATCATATATTCTGTTTTAGAAACGTTAAGTGTTAATTTGTTTGCCACTAACCATTGATAGATATTATTAAGATCGGTGTTCAATTTTTCCTCCAATTCATCTACGGATTCCGCAGATGCGGAGATATTAGTATCATCATAAGCAAGATGGCGATGCGATCGCTCAATTTAGTTCTAGCTCTTATAAAGATTTTTGTCTTGCTATATTGCACATTCGGCTTGAAAAAGAAGTCATTTGTGAGCAAATCATTTTGTTATTCCTTATACCCAGAAATTCAGACAACATATGAAGTCGAATGGCACATACATGGCTCTTTATGGATCTACAAGCAATGTCATGCGTTGCACATGAAACCGAACGGTACTTTCAAGCTACTTATGATCTTAGCTGGTGATGTTGAATTGAATCCTGGCCCAGCCTTGACATGTACCAGTTATTTAAAGCAAATCAGGCGAAATCAACTAAAGGGAACTTGTCAAAACTGTAAGCAATGCTTCCATATAAAATGTTTAAAAGAGAATGTCAACGACACTGTGTTCTGTAGTACATGCTACATTCGACCGACTGAACCGATTGAAGAGACCAGACATGATGATCGGAAAAATGATTGCTATGATAACTTACGATCGTATATTGCTAAAACTGGTCTTAAAATACTGCACCAAAATGTGAATGGCCTTCTCTCGAAGATTGATATGATACGGGAAATGTTTGACAGTCTCAATAACATTATTCATGTTTTGGGTGTAACAGAGAGTAAGTTAAATTCAACGGTTTTGGATGCCGAAGTTCGAATTAATGGATATGTATGTATACGACATGATCGCACTTCAGTAGCAGGAGGCGGGGTGATGGCTTTCGTTCGTGATGACATTAATTTTCAACGACGAACAGATCTTGAAAATCAGTCGATAGCAGCAGTTTGGCTTGGACTATTTGTAAAATACTCAAAGTCAATCCTTGTCTGTTTTACATATCGACCTCCAAACTCATCAGAGCATCTAAATAAGAATTTTAATGAGGCATTTAACGAAATGGTAATGACCGCCTTACAAGACAACAAAGAGATTATTCTCTTAGGTGACTTAAATTGTGATTACTCTAAACCAACGGACAATAGTTGCCTGAAAGGTATTATGAAGATAAACGGTCTTAAATGATAACACAACCGACTAGGACTACGATGACAACAAGCTCATTAATTGATATTGTATTAAACAACACATGTCAGGAACATTCTCCAATCTTTTGTTTGTAATAGTGGTCTTAGTGACCACTTAGTGACGGGTTAATAAGGAAAATGAACTGTACTAAATATGCACCAAGGAAATTATTTGCCCGCAATTGGGATAACGTGACCAGAATTGGGATAACGTGACAAGAAATAATGATTTAAATACTGCATGGGATGGATTTAAAACCATCATTACAAATATAATCAACAAACTTGCTCTACTAGACGAAAGAACTGTTCGTGGTAAAGATTGCCCATGGCTCACCAGAGAAATCAAACAAAAGATGTATGAACGTGACTACCAGCTTCGAAAGGCAAAACGAACAAAAAATCCTGAAGACTGGAGTCATTACCTAAGATTAGGGAATCTAACAACCTATGCAATACGTAAGGGAAAAGCTAATTATGAGAGATCCGTTTTCAACGAAAACGAATTAGATCCTAAGAATTTTTCGAAACAAATCACGAAATGTTATCCAGTCAAAAATAAATCAACATCAAGTACTTCGTTTAAAGTAGAAAACGAAGTAATAACGGACAAAAGCAAAATATCGAATGCCTTCTGTGACTTTTTCAGCAACATACCTTCGCTGATGAAAACCACAACGTGTAATTTCATGAATTCTGCATGGCAGTATAATGATATGGATGGATTATCAAGAAAAATAAACCCAAGTAACCATGAATTTTACTTTACAGAAGTTCGTTACCAGGAAGTGCTTAGAATCCTAGAATCCCTAAACCCGTACAAACCTGCCGGTGTTGATAATATTCCACCCAAAGTTGTCAAGGATGCAGCCACGGAGATTGCGAAACCGCTAGTAATCTTGGCAAATCGTAGTCTCCAATGTGGTCAGTTCCCCAGTGCCGAAAAGATTGCGAGAATAACCCCAGTTTATAAATCTGGCGAGAAAACTCTGCTTGACAACTACCGACCTATATCCACACCGACGGTGTTTTCGAAGGTTTTAGAGAAACTCGTATATTATCGAATCTCATGGTATTTGGAGGAACATAATCTTTTTAACAACTATCAGTATGGTTTCCGTCAGAATCGATCAACGAAACATGCTATTACGATCTTGATAGATGACGTAAGAACCGGTATGGATCAAGGTCAATTGACTGGCCCAGTCTTTATGGATCTGCGTAAAGCTTTTGACACGGTAAACCATGGTCGTCTTCTGGACAAACTACCAGCCTATGGTATTAAAGATATAGAAATGAAATGGCTTATAAGTTACCTGTTTGCACGAGCCCAAGTTGTAAATTTCAAAGGAACGCTCTCAGATAAAAAAAAACCATTACTCACGGAGTACCGCAGTGCTCCATTCTAGGACCACTGCTTGTGGCGATGACATCATCGTTGATGTCACGTGAGTCATTGTTGTTGTCGAGTTTTTAGGGGATATGTTTTAGGCTCGAGACTGACAAGCTGAGATTCAGACATGTTATACTAATCGAAGTAATAAAGACTTTTGGGTAACAGTTATAAATATCGTTACATGGTGTCAGGTGCGGGATCGTACTGCACGACCGAGGCGTTTTTTTCAGGAAAAGAACCCGTACAATCAACAAATAAACAGTAAACACATCGAGCAATGGCAGAACCAGAAGCGCCCGCTGCCACAGGCATATACGTTCCACCGTCGAATATACCGCCGCCAAAACCACTCGTGTTTGATGACAACATCGCGATAAGTTGGAAAACATGGAAAAAGGCTTGGAAACGTTTTGAAATTGCCACAGGAGTTTATAAGCAAGACGGAGTTGTTCGTGTGTCAACCCTGCTAAGTATAATAGGTGAAGATGGCGTCAAAACATTCGACACTTTTACGTGGGCAGAAGGCGAAAGCGAAGACAATATAGACCAGGTTCTAAAGAAATTTGACGATCATTGCGAACCAAGAACTCAAGTTATTTATGAACGCTATCGATTTAATAACAGAAAACAAGAACAAGGTGAGAATGTTTCAACTTATTTAACCGAATTAAGAACAATCGCTCGAAATTGTGATCATGAGTCAATTACACCCGATGAAATATTAAGAGATAGACTAGTATTGGGCATAAGAGATGACAAAGTTCGCGAGCGATTGCTGCGAACAGATGGGTTGTCACTGAAGTAAGCTGTTGAAATAATTAAGGCCGCAGAACAAACACAACAACAAGTAAAGCTAATGACCGGAGATTTGTCTGTAAACACAATTAAAGAAAATAAAGGTGACACAAAATTTACAATGCGAAATACCCAAGAGGGGCAGGGCCAAGGTCAAGGTCAAACAAGAG